AAAAAGGAGGGATAGAGATATGATAGAATAGCAGTAGAATATTGAATGTACTTTTAAACCAAAAAAGAAATAATAGTCTTAAATATTTAAGTTAGAATATGGATCATTGTATATTGATACAAAATTGAGATTATTTTTGTTAGAACATACTGTACATACATTTCTAATCTTGTTCAAAATATTATACCTATACATCTCATTTAACAGTGTAATGAAAATTTCTAGTACTTGAAAGCTATTATCACAGACTATTTGGGGTAGGAAAGAAATGCAAGTTAGTAGTTAATCATTACAATAAAACTTGTAGTTATTAAGGTATGTTTTCAAGATCAAACAGACATATATTGCTGTGGGATGGTCTGTATGTCAAGTTTGTTGCTGGTTGGTCAATAAATAAATCACTGATTGGCCCGTAGCCAGGCAGGAAGTATAGGCAGGACAAGGAGGAGAATAAAGATGGGAAGTGGAAGGCTGAGTCAGAAAGACACTGCCAGCCACCATCATGACAAACAGCATGTGAAGATGCCGGTAAGCCACGAGCCACGTGGCAAGGTATAGATTAATAGAAATGGATTAATTTAAGCTATAAGAACAGTTAGCAAGAAGCCTGCCACGGCCATACAGTTTGTAACCAATATAAGTCTCTGTGTTTACTTGGTCGGGTCTGAGTGGCTGTGGGACTGGCAGGTGAAAGAGATTTGTCCTGACTGTGGGCCAGGCAGGAAAAATCTAGATACAATATATTTTAGATAGACAGGTCATCTTCAAATACTTCACAGATGTACAGAATATGCATTTAAGATATTTTAATAACATAGGTTCTTTTTTATGACAATGAGACACATCTACTCCTGGCAGCACTAATCTACTTCAGAGAAGATAATATGTATCAAAGAAACTCCATATGAAGTTCGCCTTCTTTTTGGCAACAGTTAGTCACTGGGCAAGAAAGTGCCCTTGCCTCGACTGTTGACAGTATGCTGTCAAAATGGGACAAGCAGGACACAAAAGGAAGTGACTGCTGAAGTTTGCCAAGACAAGGTAGGACAGCCCTTCAGAAAATTCTGCTTCACTGATAAGTTTGTCATATATTCTAGGCCTGTAGGCCAAAGATGGCTGCCCCAGCATTGCAAAGGAACCTTGGGTGACTGTCCAGGCAGCCAGCTGTTTCTGTCATTTTTCACATTTTTCAGAATTCACTTGCCCTTCCTGCCTACTCAGGTAATATTTCTTTCTTGGGTCTCTGAGGGAGTTCAAGATTAGATAGTTGTAGTTATAGTTTTCCTTGTTACCAGATTCAGAAAAGAAATTCACTAAGGAGGTGTAAAATGTATAAGATTGAGAGACATTAAAAGATAATTTTGGTAATGCAAGTTAGAATAGAAAGTGAATTAGGGACAACATTTGGACAGAATAGATATGGTGTATTTTTCTCTGAATTTCTCAATTGTTAATGGACTAGACATTGTTGATGTAATTATTACTTGTATATATTGTATAGAGTTATTGTGCTTATTGTATATAGTTTTTCATATATTAGTTATAACCTTTTTTAAAATTTTAGACAAAAAGGGGGAATTTGATATTTTATTTGTGCTCTACCCAACAGATCAGAGTGTGGAGTTAGACACTATAGGCCAGGCAGTGGTGGCACACCTTTTTATCCCAGCACTTGGGATCTCATACCTTTGATCTTTGACTTGGAAGGCACATGCCTTTAATCCCAGCACTTGGGAGGAGGAAACAAAAGTGATATGGCTGGGCACAGAGAGGAAGTGATAAGGTGGGGTGCAGACAAGGGCTCAGCCCCTTTTGGTCTGAGGATTTGGTAGAGATAAGAAGTCCTTTTAGTGGCTGGATGCTCTGCTTCTCTGATCTTTTAAGATTTCACTCTGATATTTGGCTCTGGGTTTTTATTATTAAGACCAATTAGAATTTGTGTTACAACTAGGTATTGGGCTGGACAAATATTTTGCAAGTTTGTCAGAGTTTTGGTGCCATCTCAAGATGAGAGGTTATAGTAAGAGAAGAGGCAGCATAGTCTGAGTGAGGATAAAAATGAAAAGTGGCATCAAGTGCCACTGTGAATACCCTGGGAGTTGAAAGAAGCTAATGAATACATTGAGCATCCCCATACCTACTAAGTTACATTACAAATAGAAGAGGGATGGTTGTCATTGACGCATTTGTGCCCCTATATTTTTGATAGACTAGCCTCTTATGTATGAATAAGGAAATGATTGTTTTGTCCTTAACTGAATCAGACACTGACATGATATTATAGGGTTATAGGTCAAGGTGCAGCCTGATGTATAACTATGATATATACACAAATAACCACACTGAGAAGTTTTCCACACAGACTGATATTGTAGGAAGTGGGGACAACAGTGAGGCTAAACAGTGTATTTATAAGTAACAGGATAAACAATGTATAAAATGCGTAGAGGAATTAAGACTCAGACAAGATGTCAAGGGACAGACAGCAGGCTCATATGGAAAATTATTGTCCCATAAGCCTTAAGACATGGTTTATGAACAGCAGAATCCTTGTAAATGTGTAAGAAGAGTATGGTTCACATGGAGTGTTAGTAGATAAAAACAAGAATTATTTATTCATTTGTAAGACTGAGTATGAAGACAACGCTTATAGTGTAGTACTACGACGCCATAGGCTAGACACATATCTGATTTTTGTTTTTGTTTTGTTTTGCCTTGGTATTTTGTTTGTTCTTTGTTTTCTACTTTTTATTTACAAAGATGGTCTCTAAAAATTGCCCAGTCCAGCCCAGTCTTAGCTCTCCAATCTGTCAGGCAAAAGCCTCTGTGCAGCTAAGAGCAGGTCAGACATAGCGAGGCTGGTTTCAAAAATTATATTAAGATGTTTTTCATTCCCACATTGGAGTCTTGCTTCGTATTCTAAAGTAAAACTGAGGCAATGTGATTATTTTCAGGATGTCACCTTTAATCCCAACACTCGGGAGACAGAGCCAGGCGGATCTCTGTGAGTTCGAGGCCAGCCTGGGCTACCAAATGAGTTCCAAGAAAGACACAAAGCTACACAAAAAAACCCTGTCTCAAAAAACCAAAAAAAAAAAAAATAAGCCACATAAAGATGACTATTACACAAAGAGTCTAGATTGTACTGTCTTTGGGATTCTTAACTACAGAGAGATGTTTGATTATAAAAAAAACTAAGTTAAACCAGTACATATATTTTAAAGATACTTTAACTTCAAAATTTAGATATAAAGATATGTTACTTTAAAAAAGAGTCTCTTTTGTTTCCACAAAAAACAAAAGACTATAGATTTGTTCCAGAGTAAGATACATCAGATTTAACCAGCCAAGACCCCCTAAAAGGTCTCCGATAACACCATGGCCCAGATGATCCAACATCCAGAACCGTTTCAAGACAACTGGCTCAGATAATACAGCCTCACGGACTACTCCATGATCCTAAAATTTTCTTTATTTCCCCAAAAGATACAGCGCCCCCCTCCAACAAAAAATAATAAAAAAAGCTACGCCCAAATTCCCAAATATACCAAGCTGACTTTGGAGATGTGTAAAGGTTAAAACCTTCCTTTTTAAGAAAAGAAAAGGGGAGGTGCTGTGGGATGGTCTGTATGTCAAATGTGTTGCTGATTGGTCAATGAATAAATCACTGATTGACAATGGCCAGACAAGAAGTATAGGCGAGACTAACAGAGAAAAATTGAGAGAACAGGAAGCTGGAGAGGGAGACACTGCCAGCCGCCATCAGGATAAGGAAGATGTAAAATACCGGTAAGCCACAAGCCACGTGACAAGGTATAGATTAATAAAAATGGATTAATTTAAGCTGTAAGAACAGTTAACAAAAAGCCTGCCATGGCCATACAGTTTGTAACCAATATAAGTCTCTGTGTTTACTTGATCGGGTTTGAGCGGCTTGGGACTGGCGAGTGAGAGAGATTTGCCCTGACTGTGGGCCAGGCAAAAAAACTCTAACAACACTAGCCTCTTATGTATGAATAAGGAAATGATTGTTTTGTCCTTAACTGAATCAGACACTGACATGATATTATAGGGTTATAGGTCAAGGTGCAGCCTGATGTATAACTATGATATATACACAAATAACCACACTGAGAAGTTTTCCACACAGACTGATATTGTAGGAAGTGGGGACAACAGTGAGGCTAAACAGTGTATTTATAAGTAACAGGATAAACAATGTATAAAATGCGTAGAGGAATTAAGACTCAGACAAGATGTCAAGGGACAGACAGCAGGCTCATATGGAAAATTATTGTCCCATAAGCCTTAAGACATGGTTTATGAACAGCAGAATCCTTGTAAATGTGTAAGAAGAGTATGGTTCACATGGAGTGTTAGTAGATAAAAACAAGAATTATTTATTCATTTGTAAGACTGAGTATGAAGACAACGCTTATAGTGTAGTACTACGACGCCATAGGCTAGACACATATCTGATTTTTGTTTTTGTTTTGTTTTGCCTTGGTATTTTGTTTGTTCTTTGTTTTCTACTTTTTATTTACAAAGATGGTCTCTAAAAATTGCCCAGTCCAGCCCAGTCTTAGCTCTCCAATCTGTCAGGCAAAAGCCTCTGTGCAGCTAAGAGCAGGTCAGACATAGCGAGGCTGGTTTCAAAAATTATATTAAGATGTTTTTCATTCCCACATTGGAGTCTTGCTTCGTATTCTAAAGTAAAACTGAGGCAATGTGATTATTTTCAGGATGTAGGAAGATTAAAATCAGAACATGTGAACCATAAATGACCTATAAACTTAATACTTCTGTCAAAGGCTCCACTCACATTTACCCATCTCCTGTTTTGGATCTCAAGGCGAACACCAACCTCACTCCCCCGGGCTGTTCCACAGGCTCTGTTTCTGCTGACCAAACTCTACAGTGGGTTGCCAGGGAAACTCCAGAAACTGAAAAACAAAAAACCAAAAAAACAAAAAAACCAACATACCTGGTTTCCCGGAATTCGGTGCACAGACTTCTGGGAAATGTAGTCTATGGGACTGTGACGTCACAGGGAGACTTCCAGGAAATTCTCTTTCGGCTTTTGGTTTCCACACATGAGTCTTCCCCAAAGTTGGGCGAGAGTCCTGCTCTACAGTCCTGTTGTGTCTCAGACATGGAGGTTGGTCCAGGGTGCAGCGCAGCCTGACGCACTGTGCGGGGTGCCGGGGTCCGACTTGGAGGGAGCGGACCTGGGCTGGATGGGAGGGCGGAAGAAGCTGCCTTGGAGGTGCTGTGCTGAACTGGCTGGGTCACGTGAGGTTGCAGGTCAGGGCTGGGGAGAGGGCGATAGGGACTGTGCACTGGGTGATGGTTTCCTTAGGATGCCGCTTGCCACCCGAGTCCCCCTGGGGCTTCTGGGACAGGAGAGCTGCCTGGTAGCGCGGAGTAGATGATAGTGCAAGTCCTGGATTGCAAACTAATGATGGTCAGCTGACTGCCTGCTCCTGAGGTGGAGCTGGCAGCTCAGTGAGCAGCTTTGGTGGGGAAGCATGCTTCTCTAGCTGAGCCATTCTCACATGGACGCTGTCAGATTTCTCAGAATCTGTAGAGCAAACGGGGTCTGGTCCTTCCTGAACTCTATAGCCGGCCTAGTGTAACAGTCTTGATTGTGTTCATTTTCTCTGCCAGTTATAGAATTAAGAGAGGGGGCTAGAGAGATGGCTCAGCGGTACAGAGCACTGGCTGCTCTTCCAGAGGATCTGAGTTCAATTCCCAACAACCACATGCTGGCTTGTCCATCGATCTATATGACTGTGCCAGAGGCCATGGAGACACATTGTAAAAGATTTGAACATGGTCAAACACATGCAAGGAATAAACCTGAGCAGCCCAGATTTTCATCACATTGTCATTCTCGGTTATTATTTGTGTCTGCCATAGTGTCCTCCATAATCATTATCAAATGCAGCAACATATAAAGGTGTGTGTGGTTGCAAGGCCAATTCTTCCATTGATCTGTTTTTCAGGAAATGCTGTCCTTCTGGGATGTGGCCATTGATTTCTCTCCAGAAGAGTGGGAATGCCTGGAGCCTGCTCATTGGAATTTATATAGGGATGTGATGTTGGAGAACTACAGCCACCTTGATTTCCTGGGTGAGCGTCTCATCCATAGTGAATTCTTATTTCACCATCAACATGTAGCTTCCTCGCTTTGCATGGTATCTCATGGGAGCATTTCAACAGTGAGTTTCATAGCCTTCATTTTAGAAAAGTTAGGGAGGTTGGTGGATAGCTAAGAAACATTTCATTGTTTTTCTTTCCATGTGTTTGAACTCTCCAAATTAGAAGGATGTGCTCATCACTCTAGTGGGCGAGAAATTCAATGGCAGGAGACATGGAGCACACTTGTTAAAGTGTTTCACAGTTCGGTTTTTTTCTTTTAACTTTTATAGATTCTTTGTGGATTTCACATTATGCATCCCCACCCCACCCATCTTCCTATCCCCCTGCTTCTACCCTCTGCCCTTGCAACCCCCCCCCCCCCCCCCCCCCCCCCGCAACAAAATAAAATTTAGAAGAAAAACCAAAAACCAAAACAAACAAGCCACATTGTTTAAAAAGGAGAAGAATCTTGTAGACACTGTGGTGTGGCCCTGTGAGTCACACAGTTCACCCTTCAGTGCATCCATCTTCACTTGCAGGCATGCCTTGCCACGAGTCTTTGGTCTGCGTCCAGGCCTCTGGCCTCCGCTGCCCCATCTAAAATGGGCTCTCCCTGGGGCTCCTCTTGGGTATTCTGTTTTTGTCCACTGTGGTGGAGTTGCAGTTTGGGTTCTTGAAGTTTGTCCCTTTCGCATGCTCCCTCAGCTCCTGGACGAAGTGGATGTTGGAGTGGGCCAGCTCATAGCCCTGGTTCTGGGCCTGGGTGCTTGCTGGCCCGGTCAGCTGGGCAGCTCTCCTGCTTTGTCAGCACCCAGGTGAGCTCTCCAGCACCGCCTCGGCCAGCCCACGCAATGCAGCCTGCAGCAAGGAGCAGGCCAGTTCTTCTGCTCTCAGGCCCTGGGTCAGCTCCCCCACACTCACCCCACCAGCCCAGCTCCCCGGTCTTGTCCAGGTGAAGTGTAAGACCCTCTTTCCTGATAGCTCACAATTCAGTTTCAGTGATTTTCCCTTTGAATGAGACTCAGAATCTGAACAATGTACATTCCTTCATATACTGTACTTCATTTCATGTGAGAAAACATTTAAGGAACTGATTGTCTGCAGTCAATTATCCCCTCATCTTTCTTTATAAACAGTGTACTGGGAGGGACATGTCAATTCCCAGCAGAAGAACACTTCAACAGTCTTGTTCCCTTTTCCTACAAACAGGTCTTGCTGTCTCTAAGCCACATCTGGTGACATTTCTGGAACAAAGACAAGGACCTTGGGATCTGAAGATACAAGCAGCAGCCCCTGTGTATCCAGGTGGATAGGAAAGAGGGGGTCAGGGACAGAGTTGAAGTCTAAAGATTCAACAGATAGGCAGGCTTTCCCTCATGTATTGAAGTAAGATATTGTCATGGAGACAATTCTTTAGGTCTCTTCTTCTTATCTTTGATTTCAAAGAGGGACGTGTCTCAGAAGTTTATGATGGTTTAAGTCTCCTAAGCTTTGTATTTCCCTAATGGTGAGCTGTCCTTGTATTTACCATGACTCCTAAGACTCAGGGAAATGCCACTCTATGAACATGAGTCATTCATTTGCTGGGCTTGAAATCAGGCTCATGCCAGAAAGATCTCTACACTGAAATGAGTATGGTTTGGTTTATGAAGCCAAACCCACAGTTTCATCACAGAGAATTAGACAAGAGCCGAGAGCCCAACACTTGCAGTTCTGTTGATTAGGACAATTTGGGGTTGGGAAACAGTTGGATAAAACTCAGACGAATTCAAATCACCCTGTACCGTTCATTCCCCACTGATCTTAGGAAAGAGTCAAAGCATTAACTTATTTTATATGAGGATGTATTGGGCCATAAGGTACACTAATTTAACAGAGGGTCCTTTGTTTTGTCGATGAAGTTGTACAAACAGTTAATTACCAGGGCCAGATTAGTTGTAGGAAGAGAAGGATGAGAGAGCCTGCTGGGCCTTTAGGTGTTGATCTATGGGTCCCCATCACACCAGTTTTGCAACCAATGATTTTGCGCCTCTCTTTCATGGCAGTTAGTGGATTTGGGCCTTTTATTAAGTTGTAAGTCTCCATTTTTTTTTTTAGGAAATATATTTATATCATATACAAAGACCAACTTTTATTTGGATATATACTCAGTCATAATTTTTTAAAGATATCAGAAATTTTTATTTATAGACCTGATGTTCTCAGATATATCGGAGCTAGTAAAATGTCTTTTTTCAGAGTTTGGTCATTGGTAGCTATTAGGTTTATTTCTATAAGAAGCATTTTGACTAATAGTACCATGAGTCCAGTGGGAGGAAGAAGATACTGTGGTCCCTATATCTAAAGGTCTCCTGTTGAGTTCTACAAACTTCTTCCATGTGTACAGGTCCGTTGGCTTTGGGCTTTGTCATGGGAGCAGGACTGAGGAGCTGGTCCTAGTTGTGTCTGGACGGTGACTCAGAATTAGTGCTCTGGGTGAACTGTCACAGTCCACCTCACTTCCTCCTCAGGTTGTATTGCTTTCTTTACCTGATGCGGCGGGTCCACACATGGCACAAGCAGCTTAGTTTAAATAAGTGCCACAGTTCATCCTGCTGTGCTGACTGGCCCTGTGACAGAGCCTCTGTCATATGTTATCTACCACTTTGCTGAGGACTCCTTCCACAATCAGACATGGACAGCTCAGCTCTGGGAATAGCTGTGCCAGGTGTAGGTACAAGGTTCCCCTGCACATAGGATACTCAGCATCAGTTAATAGGACATTGAGTGCAGAGTGATTGCAATGAGTGTGTCCATTGCTTGAGAGAGACACTTAGGTGCAGAGTCTAAGATCCTCCTCAGCATGAGAGAATCCACCCCCTGTCTTGTGGCACATGAGGAGTAATTTGTCTTCCCTACAGATACTGGGTAGAATTTCCTGGTCTGGCTTACAGGCCAGAGGGAGACAGGAATAGCAGACACTGACAAGTCCTATTCCTCATGCATCCTTATCTTGTGTTGAGACTAGAATGCCATTTATTCTGATAGGCCTGTGTCCCCTTGAGGGTAAGTGTGCTGTTTGATTCTGGGTGTGTCCTGCCATGCAAGTGTAGTATAGATTTAACCCTTTTTACTCAAGCATTCAATTTCAATAACCAGTTTTTGTGAAGTACATCTGATTTTGAATATTATTACATATTAAGCAGGCTTTAAGTTGAACTTGAATTTGTTTGAGATACCTTCCTAGGATCAACTTTGATAACGTATACAGAAGACTCTATTATGGAAGGTATAAATGTGTCTCTCCCTCCAATATTATCTTTGTAAATCAATTATATTTGTATTTAGCATGAATATAAACACAATTTTGGGCACATCAAGTATATTTAATCACTCATTAGATGACTTACCCTTAACTATTATATCTTTGTTATATTCGTTGTAACAGGTTTTAATAAATTAGTAACTCTCATCAGAGTATGATTTAATAAATGAAAATAATTTATTCCTATTAAAAATTTCAACCTTGCCAAGCAGTGGTAATACACACCCTTAATCCAAGCACTGGGGAGGTAGAGGCAGGAGGATCTCTGAGTTTGAGGCCAGGCTGTTCTACAAAGTGAGTTCCAGGATAACCAAGGTTACATGGTGAAAGCCTATCTCAAAAAATAAAAATAGAAAAATAAAGAAATAGGTAAGTTTGCCATCTATGCATTGACATATAGGTTGCCTCTGCAAAATTTCTGTTATCCACACGTGAGCCTGAAGTATTTTATCATGATGATAACTTTCAGATAAATATTTTCTTGTCATTAAAAGAAAACATAAAATACTGTCCTGAATCCTTGAACTATATTATTCAGTCTTTTTGTACACAATGTACTTGTGATGCAACTTATCTTTTGTACCTTCGAAACTAAAAGTCTATACTTAGTATAAAAGTTATGTTTTTCTATTTTGGTCCAAACTCACACAATCACAATTAGCTTCCTTTGTTCCAGGCCTGGCTACTTTATAATCTCATGGATAGAAGTCCAGCCATATAATATCTGTATTGCTTAATGGGCTTATGTCTGTTAGTAAAATCCCCTTACAACTTACTTAGCAATTTAACTTGGAATAATATGCCATTATTTCTGTGTTCTCCTTGGTTGTACTCTTTTTATTTTATTAATTATACTCAGTGCACAGAGGTATTGAAATAGACTGCAGTTTATTTATGGTTAGATATGTATCAGTTAATGTCTCCATTTAAAAAGTAGCCATTATGCCGGGCGGTGGTGGCGCACGCCTTTAATCCCAGCACTCGGGAGGCAGAGCCAGGCGGATCTCTGTGAGTTCGAGGCCAGCCTGGGCTACCAAGTGAGTCCCAGGAAAGGCGCAAAGCTACACAGAGAAACCCTGTCTCGAAAAACCAAAAAAAAAAAAAAAAAAAAAAAAAAAAAAAAAGTAGCCATTATAAGTATAAAAGATACTGCTTAGCTTTTGTTCATATCTGAATTTTGCTCAACAGGAACAATACCCAATGATTGTAATAATTACAGCAAGGCCACTGATTGTAATTCACTACATATTCAATGCCAGAGAATTCATACAGGGGAGAAACCCTACAAGTGTGAAGAATGTGGTAAGGGCCTTAGTTCTCAAAAAGCCCTGTCTATACACCAGAGACTTCATACTGGAGACAAACCCTACATGTGTACAGAATGCCATAAGGCCTTCAGTACTCGCTCATCACTTTTTATACACCAGAAAAATCATACTGATGAGAAAACCTACAAGTGTGAAGAATGTGGCAAATCATTTTACTATCCTTCAATGCTGAAGCAACATCAAAGAATTCATTCTGGAGAGAAGCCCTACAAGTGTGAAGAATGTGGCAAAGCTTTCTATGATCGTTCATTCCTGAAGCAACATCAAAGAGTTCATTGTGGAAAGAAACTGTACAAATGTGAAGAATGTGGGAGAACATTTTCCTCTGCTTTAACCCTTAACCAACATAAAGGAATTCATTCTGGACAGAAAAAGTACAAGTGTGAAGAATGTGGCAAATCTTTTTGCTATCCTTCATTTCTTAAGCAACATCAAATAATTCACTCTGGAGAGAATCTCTACAAGTGTGAGGAATGTAGCAAACAATTTTACTGTTTTCAACACCTTCAGGAACATCAAACAATTCATACTGGAGAGAAACCATGCAAGTGTAAGAATGTCATAAATCCTTTTATAATTATGCAACCCTTAGGAGACACAAGATAGTTCATACTGGAGAGAAAACCTACAAATGAAGAGTGTATCAACTGTTTTTCTTCTTCTGCCCTTAGAAGACATCTAGTAGTTCATTCTGAAGATAATCCCTACAAGTGTGAAGAATGTGGAAAAATGTTTTCCCATGCTCCACGCCTTCAGGAACATCAAACAATTCATACTGGAGAGAAACCATACAAGTATGAAGAATGTCACAAAGCCTTTCGTTATCACTCAGCCCTTAGAAGAACGAGACAGTTCATACTGGAGAGAAACCCTACCAGTGTGAAGAGTGTAGCAGATGTTTTTCTGCTTCTTCAGCCTTTAGACAACATCAAACAGTTCACTCTGGAGACAATCCTTATAAATGTGAAGAGTGTAGCAGATGTTTTTCCTCATCTTCATCTCTTCGAAGGCATAAAAAAAAATTCACTCTGAAAAAAACTCCTACAAGTCTCAGGAATGTGAAAAGGCCTTTGTTAATCATTGTAGCTTTACTGAATAAAAGACAGTTCATACTGGAAAGAAGTCCTACAATTGTAAAAAGTTTACACTTCTTCAGCCCTTAAAAGACATCAAATTCTGAATACAAATTCCATGAGTTTGTTGACTGTGGTAAAATCTTTGCTAATCATTCAGACCTTGTTCAAATCAAATGAATCCATAGTGGAGAATATTAACATAATTATTTTGGAATATCAATAGGAATATCATCTAACTTCCACCAGCACAAAGGTAAGAATTGTCATCAGAACACAGTAGAGACTTCTTTTTGCTGTCACCTCCCCACCGGTTTGTTCAATGTGTTTGAAACGTGCCTTGATTGATGAGTCACTTTCTCCTGTAACTATAAATGTTCCATGAAACTGTTACTATATCATAACTTTGTCTGTTGCATGCCCGGAATCTGAGATCCCGGCTGTGGCATAGTTACTGTTATTTTTTTCAAATGCTGTCACCCAAGCTCCTGTAATAGCATCTCCCCTGGGTGTATAAGAAGCTCCATGGACTCATATTTCTCACTATGTTGGATTTTGGTGGAATGGTCTGCATTGGTACCAATTTGGGGTGAATGGGCATTTGTGTTTTTCTCCCCGAGGAAATGCTCATAGAACACATTATCAGTCATAGTTGATTCCAGAGTAAAGAATCTCTCTCTCTCTCTCTCTCTCTCTCTCTCTCTCTCTCTCTCTCTCTCTCTCTCTCTCTCTCTCAAAGTTCAGAACAGCTTTTCTCATATGTATCCAACGTCATGTCACAGAAACTTGGAACCGTATTGAAATAAAGACCCAAGTCAATTCCACTCACTCAGCAGAAAAGATGTATTTGATTAGTGAATATGTGATCATCAAGTATGAAACATTGTAGGGGCAGATCTTTACTGTTGATTCAGATCTGAAAATGTCTTCTCAATCTTATGTTTACTAATTTACTGTAAACTGTTAATACAGGGTAATTAACACCTAAACATTAATAATCACTGACTTATAAATGATTAAGTCTTTACTATGCCCAAAATTGTGTTTCTAGTCATGCTAAGTACAAGTGAAATTTATTTACCAAGATGAGATGGGAAGGAGGGCCAATTTATATCTCTCCTTTTATAATCTTCTGTATGTGCTGTTGAAGTATATCCCAAAGCATGTACCTCAAAACTAGTTTAAACTTCGTTTAGTATGACATGAAATTAAAAATCAACTGTAATTATTTTTTTTTAACCTATTTTGGGAAATAGAGGGCTAAAACTAAAGATGTTAAATTTATAGTACCAATGCATGGCAGTTCACTGCCAGGCCCAAGTAGCATCATTTGGATGGGACACAGACCCTATCAGAGTAAATTGTGTGCTAGCCACATTACAGGATAAGGATGCACAAGGAAAGAAGACGTGATGAAAGTCTGCTGCTCCTGTCTCCCTCTGGCATGTGGCCAGATTAGGAGAACTTCCTAGGAAAGATGAATTATTCATGTTTCACATGGCAGTCAGATGGATTCCCTTGCCAAGTAGAGAGTTTATACCCACATCCTAAATTTCTCAAGCCACAGAGGGGCAAATACCAATTATTCTGCCTTCCTTGTCTCCCTTTGTAACCAATGAGGATGCTGTCAATAGGGAATCTTTGTATCTAACCTGCCACCCAAATGGTATTCAATTTACATCATAGTTGAATTGGCCATGCCCCTACCCTGACATTCTGTTTTTCTCCTCCTAGCAAAGCCAGTTCCAGGATGACAGACAGGTCAATGCATGATTCTGTAATGAGTCCCAAGAAGTTTTAAGTAACATAAGACAGAGTTGGCCAAGAGGCCAGTCAGTACAGCAGGATCAAGTGTGAGCACTCATTTAAACATCAAGCTTCAGGATCCACCGTGCACAGCCAAGAAAAGATCACTACCTGAGGAGAACGAAACTTGAACTGTGAATGTCCAGCCGGACCAGCCTCTCTGAATCACATGCCGGAGATGATGGTGACCTGCTCCTCAGCCCCACTTGTAATGTGGATCCAAATAAATAAATAAATAAATAAATAAATAAATAAATAAATAAATAAATAAATAAATAAATAAACCTGGCATCAGATCTAGGGGTAAATGCTGAAAGATCAAAGAAGTAAAGGAGCCAGCCACTATAGAGACTTATTTCTACCGAATCCTCAGACCAAAAATGGGGCTGAGTTTCTGTCTCCTCCCACCTTATATTCCTGTTTCCACCTTCCTAGTGCTGGGATTAAAGGCCTGGCTCTGTTTCTCTTTTAGACTGGAACTCCTGATCTTCCTGCTTCTTCTTCCCAAGTGCTGGGATTAGAGGTGTGTGTCACCACTGCCTGGCCTCTGTGGTTACCAGTGGCTAGCTCCACCCTCTGATCTTCATGCAAGCTTTACTTGTTAGAGCACAAACATCATATCACCACATTTCCCCTTTTTTTGTCTAAAATAAAAGAAGGTTATAACTAATATATGATAAAGTATATACGATAAGTACAATAACTATACACAATATATAAGGCAATAATTTCATTAAAAATATTCAGTTCACTAGCATCTGACAAATTCAGAGAAAATATTCCCATTATCTATCCTATCTTGGTGAGTCCAAAAGGTTGTATTAATTCACCCTCTATCCTAACTTGTACAAACAATATATCACCACACCCACTCCCTTTGCAAGCCTCAGGGCCATCATGTTTACTTGGCAGAAGCTTGAGGTGTTCCACCGGGGTCCTTGGAGATAGAGGTCACAATTCTCCTTCTTCCCTTTGGACTCAGGGTGTTATTGGCCCTCATGCTTCTGTCTTACTCAGGGGTATCTTTATTATAATGAAACACTATGAACAAAGCATTTGGGGGAGAAAAGGGTTTGATTGGCAGAGGGTCACACAATTTTCATCACTGAAGGAAGTCAGGACAGGAATCCAAACTGGGTCAAAACTTGGAGGCCAGAACTGATGCAGAGGCCATGGAGGGTTGCTGCTTACTGGTTTGCTCTCTGGGACTTGCTCTGACTGCTTTCTTATAGCACTCAGGACCAGCAGGTCATAGATGAACCCAAGCAACATGGAGTGGGCCCTTCCACTTCAATTATTAAGAAATTGCCCTATATCCTTGCCTACAGCTAGATCTTATGGAGGCATTCTCTCAGTTGAGGTTCCCATCTCTCAAATGACTGTAGCCTGTGTCAAGTTGACAACAACAACAACAACAAAAAAAACCCTAGCCATCATGGCTTCCAAAAGGGCTAGCCACAACAGCCCATCAGGTCTGGTCTCTGAATCAAAAGTTTACTAACTCTGCTACATCTGATCAGTCAGGCCCTGCCCAATTAACTGGCTATTAAACTTTGTCAATTGACAGCCTCTCAAAAAATAAAACCAAGGTTTCAGTCCTGCTCTTTCATTAAAATCAAAAAATTTAAAGTAATTAAAAGGAGTGGGGAATGCCAGGTGTGGTGGTGCATGCCTTTAATCCCAGCACTTGGAAGGCAAAGGCAGGCAGATCTCTCTGAGTTCCTCTACTTCCTCCCATCTTGTCTTAGTTAGGGTTTCTACTGATGTCAAGAGACACCATGACCACAGCATCTCTTATGAAAGAAAACATTTAATTGAGGTTAGCTTACAGGTTGAGAAGTTTAGTCCATTACTAAGGAGAAGGAACCCAGGGTTCTACATCTGGATTGCAGGCTGTAGGAAGGGAGTGTACCTCTGGACCTGGCTTGAGTATCTGAAACCTCAAAGCCCATGCCCAGGGACAAACCTCCTCCAACAAGGCCACACCTACTCCAATGATGGCATACCTCCTAATAGTGTCACTCCCTGTGGGACTGTGGGGGCATTCAAACCACCATAACTCTGAAGCCTCTTCAGGAAAGTATATTGTATTTCCTCTCTTCTGAAAAATGATTCCTCCTTTCCTATTGGAAAGGACCTAATGTATACATACAAAAGGTCTCTCCTGAGAAATGGCCATGTATATTTTATAGATCAATGCCCTTTCTTCCCAGCTGTGGAAGGGTCCAGGGAAAAACAAAAACAAAAATTAACCAAATAATATATAATAACACCTCAGTGTACATCTTCTGTGATGTGATTAGATTTTTGACTTTAAAAACACCCTACCTTCCCTTCCTGTCCTACTAATAGCCTGTCTGAGGTGGGAGACTACTCTTGGTCACCAGCACTCTTAAATGCTTTAATAAACATGATGATTTGTAATTTTCTCATATTGCTTATTTTATTTACCAGTTCTGAAGCAAAGACAGAATTCTCACTTTATAAACAGTGGCTGTAAAGTCAGTGGTACCAACTTAGAAACTTCCTCTCTACTAACTAGCTTTTATAGTGGAGGCACAATCTAGGTATGCTACCATGGAAGTGATGTAATACATAGTCTTTCCCAGCCATGAGCCCAGGAAGTGGCAAGATGCGCCAAAGGAGTAATAATGGCAGGAAAGTTATAGGAGTAACACAACCATTTTCTGGTTGGATTTAAAGCTCATTCCACAGAGTTTAACTGATAACATGATGTTAATTGGTGATAAACCTGTGCCTGTGTAGGTGATACACCCTATGGAGAACCTAATACTGTTATTCTGATAAGTAAGTAGTAACTAAATGAACCCAAGTTCTTATCTTTATACCCACATATTCAGGCATCTCTCATACCCACCAGAAAATATTGTGTGGTAGATGGAGAATAAAACACAGACTCACAATTGGTCAATGTGTAGAGAATAATGGTTACTTGTTATAATTAAAGTTAAAACAGAAGTATAACAGTCAAATGAACTTGGTCAGTAAAAAGGTTAAAAAGACAACACATCACATACATTCTATCATTGGTTTGGGTAAAAAACAAAACAAAACAAAACAAAACAAAACAAAAGGGTTTATTTACATTTAAATGTCATGGACACATTAGATAGAACAGAGAGAAATGGATAAAACTCTAGAGTGGATCACAAAAAAAGTGTTTCAGCTTCAGGCTTAAATCCCATCCTTATCACTAACAATGAAAGGCTGGTGTGTGTAAAGGTTCTGTTTTTTAAAAATGGCTAAAAAGTGGTCAGCATATTATCTTTAACAAAGATCAGGTTTGCTATGTGTATGTGAGTCAATGCTTTCCTGTTTGGTGTTTCTGAAGATCTAGTTACCAATTTTCTCAGTAACACAGAGGAAGATTTCCTTCCAAATGCAAATGTTCTTCATTGGGTAGACATTTGTTGTACAAGAGCTACAGCCTGTGTGGGAAGCTTCTGAAGAGACGGCTCAAACTGAACAGTGTAGCAGAGACATGCACTCAGGAGACATTGCTCATTTCTCCTTTTTTTCTTTTTAAATTAAACCCTATTATTTAAAATGTTGCAAATAGAAAAAAAATAGCCTACCCAAATTAACAAGACTTAAAGACTACAGAACCCATAAACTTCTTTACATTTACAATGGGCATTCAGAGCTGGGCAGTGGTGGTACACACATTTAATCCCAGCACTCAGAAGGCAGGTTGATCTCTGAGTTCTGATGACAGCCAGGACTACACAGAGGAACCCTGGCTTGAACTCCTCACTCCCAGAAGAAAAAAAAACATTCAGAATAGAAGCTGTGGAGTTCACGTTGGATTTAAAACTGTCTCTATGCTTTTCTGCAACTACACACTGCTAAACCCAAATAATTCATGACAAAGTTAGAGCTTGAAAATCAATTATGTCCTCTTTCATAAGTCATGTTCATCACCTGCTGTCAATCATCCCCTAATATTTAGCCTTTATTGTTCTCTTTTCTATATGATGTACTGTAGTCACATGTAAATTTGTTGACATATATACATATATTACTAAGTCACACATGTGAGGGAAAACATGCAATGTTCTTCCTTATACGATTGGGTGACCTCAATTGATATACATTCTAAGTCCATCCATTTTTGTGTAAATTTCATGATTATAGTTTTTTAGAGTTAAATATCATCCCTATGTGTATAATAAACATATATATTATATTTATCAAATAATCCACTAATGTGTTCATGGACATCTAAGTTAAATCTGGTCCTTTTCTGTTGTGAGTAAAGAAACAATCAGCATGGGGTACAAATATCTCTATGTTAAGGTATGAGGGTCCCTGAACATAAGCCCAGGACTGAAATAGTGGGGACAGTGCAGAGACTTGGGCCCGGGTTCCAGTGGTGTGAGGTCATTATGGGTGTGAGATGCTGACTTGTGAGGTTTCAGCTGTCACTGCAGCACCCATAGTCTATGCTGTGGTGGTCTCAGAGGCTACTTTGGGTCTGTGGCTCTAACCACAGCCTGTAGACAGCAGATTGCACTACATCTGAAGTTTAGTACCTGCCTCCAGCAGGCTCATAGGGTCCACGGAGTGACTAAGGATTTGACTCCCCAGTCCCATCTGCATTGACTTCTGAGGTCATGGGACTCGATTCCTGGTTGCAGGATGCTTTCCTATGGATGTGTGGGTGGGCACTCCTTAATGTTAGTGCCCTTTACACCCTTGCTTCTACAGTAAACATTGAGGCCCCATGTACTTAGGCCCGAACTGCACATTTCAAGCTGGGAGGAATGACTGGATTCAGGTGATTGTCCAATGACCTTGTCCATCTTTCCTTTCCTGAAGGCATGTTAACATTGAATAAGGCCAGCTGTGAACATCTGAGTGAACACAGCTGGAGTTATGAAGATGGCAGTTGTTTCACTATGAAGATATTGTATAGCATTGTCTTGATAAAAGAAGGTTGAATCCAAATTACACATGTAGGGTAATGGAATAAATTAGTATTACCTGCATACATGCTGTTAATCCTCTTAACCTGTAAGATTCCTGGTATAGAAAATATAAGACAGTTTTTTATGATTTACACAGCATGTGGGGTTATTTGTCATAATCCTTATTATATTTATGTTTACATCATCTAACAGAATTTTGCTGAGGGAGCCCTGATCAACCTACATTGTTGGAATTGTTACTGACAGATTTTAGACAGTGTGTCCTTCCTATCCTCATTATGTATAGAGATCTCTTTCCCCAATTTTATTACAAACACCTTTATTCCAAGAGACAAACAATGGTAGTCTCTGTTGTACATAGATAGCCCTGAGCTGTTCTTAAGCACACACTGTCTTTTTCTTGGTTGTTTGTTGATCTCTTTTTCTCTGTTTCAGAGTCAGGGGGGACTGACTGAAGACAGGAGCTTTATATAACTTTAGAGACACACATGCTTGGGTCTGACATGGGGATGCCAAATCCTAGCTTCAGAACTAGCCTTTTCAGTTTGCTGAAACAGCATATGTTCATATATTTGTAATATTAGCCATATCTAAAAGACTAAAGAAACAAAAATGAATATTCAGGCTTATTGGGACAGAAACCAAGGCAGACCATAGGCATAAGAGAAAGGAATCTTAAGGACAGAGGGAATATCCTATCACAATTAAAGGAAGCTGCTGTGGAATAATCCTTCTATACACAGTAAAGATGTGTTATTCTCATTGTTAATAAAAAGCTGATTGGCTGGTGGCTAGGCAGGATTTTCAGGGCAGAGAGAATGCTGGGGAGAAGAAGGGCAGAGTCTGAGGAGATGCCATAAGAGGCAGAGCAAGCAGAATGGGAAGTACATACATGAGGTAAACGAGCCTTGGGCCAGCACATAGATGAATAGAAATGGGTTCATTTAAGTTATAAGAGCTAGCTAAAAACAAGCGTCAGCTATTGGCCAAGCATTTATAATTAATATTAAGTCTCTGTGTGGTTATATGGGGAGTGGCTTGTGGGACAGAAAAGAATGCCCACAGGAAGCAGGCTTGGAGACCAAGTAGAAAGATCTGGCATTAGAAACCAGTGTAGCTTCTCTAACTTCTGAACAACATAGCTAAGGCTCTCCAGCATAGAAAACATGGCCCCACACCCCATGTCTACTCTGAGGTAGACTGGTATTACCTGTTGGTTATCCTTCTGGTGACTGGAGTCTTGGGTGGGTAATGAAAAACAGAGGTCTGGCCCACTCTTGCCAACACTTACCTCCTCTGCTTCTCTCTCAGCTGGAGGGACAGAGCTCCTGGGAGCACACTGGTGTAATGACTTCCAGCCCAGCATCCATTGTCGGAATTCCCTCTGTAGAGGTTTGACCTGTCTTGTTCATTTTCCTTTGTCTTTTCTGATGCTGAAACATTTTCTATATGACAATATGAAATTTGAAACTCAAGAGCATCTGCGTTGAATTTCCCTCAGTTCCTCCAAATCAGAACACAGAAATGATAAATAAGTCTACATGATGTATACATTACAAACCTATCTTATGATTTCTATAAGAATTACCAGGAAACATGTAGGTCCTAATGGTTCAGTGTATATGCAGGTAATACTAACTTATTCCATTACCCTACATGTGTAATTTGGATTCAGCCTTCTCTTATTAAGTTAGCACTGTACAATATCTTCACAGAGAAGCAACGGCCATTGTCCGACCTGCCGACAGTCAGTAGGGGAGCTGGGTAGAGGCGTGCGGATTGAAGAGACAATGAAGAAGACAGAAGAGAGTCGAGAGGTCTGCCGGTCAGTGCCAGACAGTCCCAAGTTTATTTCACAGCCAGCTTAAATACAGTCTTGTAGGACAGAGGTACAATAATGCACAGCACAGGCATTCAACCACTATCTGTCCTGCCTTGCACCAAGGAACAGGCAGTTTCATTTTCTATCTCAAGGTACCTCTGGAAGGCATCAGCAGCTTGCATCTAGCTCGATAGTATGTTCCCTCTTATGGGCTTATCAGGACTTTCTCACAGCCCTTCAAAGAGACTCTGTGAGCTAATCAGAACTTTCTCACAGCCTTGGAGCAAAAAAGCTTGAACTCTATTGACTCAGAATAGGCTTCAGATTCAAACTGGGAGACTGAGTCAGTTGCGGGCGCCCACAGGCCATCTTCATAACTCCAGCTGTGCCCACTCAAATGTTCACAGCTGACCGTATTTAATGTTAACATGCCTTCAGGAAAGGAAAGATGGACAAGGTCATTGAATGATTACCTGGGTATCCAGTCATTCCTCCCAGCTTGAAATATGCAGTTTGGGCCTAATTGCATGAGACTTTGAGGTCTGCTGTGGAAACAAAGATGTATAGGGCACAAACATTTAAAAAGATGGTGCCTACCCTCACAGCCATAGGAGAGCATCCTGAAACAAGGAATTGAGTCCTGTTGAGAGGATGACA